GATCTATCGCCCCGTGGAGAGGCGTCCCCAGGGGTGAGCTATTGGTAGAGATATTTAAAACCTGAGTGGACAAAACATTAGACCCTTCACTGCAGGGAACAATTCGACAGCAGCTCCTGGGACCTGACCCTTGTGAGCACAGAGGTCCTTCCCAACTGTAATTTTTTATGATTTCTCAATTGACTTCCCTTTCTATAAAAAGTATTCAGTTGCTGCTGAGGAATCCAACTGCTCTAACATTCGGTTTGAGGTGAGGATGTTTTCAGTATACTTTCATTTTTGTGCAGCATGAAAAATGCCTCTACACCCACTCTCTTTGAGCCAAAGGAAAGCAAAATTCAGATGATTAAGCCTATAAATACGTATTTTAGGCAGGGGATGGAGGAATCGGCCCTTAACAAACTGCCAAGACATGATCAGAGCAGCTGTGGCTTTGCTCTATAGCCTTTAGCAAATGCTCATCCCTTCCAAGTCTCCAATTTTGTTGCTTGTCTTGTCGGTCAGGATAATGATCTCTGATGCCAGTGGTGGACATTTTGGAAGGACCGTGAGGTGGAAGAAATGGCTTAGCCTTGCCTCTCATTGCTAACCATCCCATTGTGTGGATTTTATACTTCTCAGCTTGCAGGCTTGGACTGGGGGAGACAAAAAGAAGGAGAGAGGTGGGCTGCCTACTTGTGTGCTTTGCTTGCATGCTCTCCTTCTTTAGGGTGACTTGGTTCAGCCATCCAACCAGTAATAATTAGGCTCCCATTAATGGCCAGGTGCTGACAGCCTGGAGTTGGTGTGTCAGAGTGGAGGTGAACAAAGGGAAGGAAAGCAATGGAGTCCTTGGTGTAAGTCTCTCAGTGGCTTGTAACTGTTCATAGGGGAAGTTGAACATCCCGTATTTTGCAAAGCATCACACGATCTGGCCCCTGCCTGCTTCTTGGATCTTGTCTTAGCCCTTCCGCTGGGCCAACTTCTCCTTTCATGGGTGAGCCCTGTTCCCTCTCATTGCAGTGCCGGCTTGAGTGCTCAGCCCAAGAATCAACTGGTCTTCCTCCCACCCTTTCACCTAGTTAATACTTCTCATCTCTCAGTTCCCAGCTGTAAGGTCACTTGGACAGAGAAACTTTCCCAGGCTTCCTGGCTCATGCCAGGTCTCTAGAGTGTATGCTACTTTGGTCCTGTCCCTTCTTCATCAGAGCTCTCGACACAAGGACAGCTAAAGAATCCAGGACTGGCTGGGGGGAGGAACGGATGGGAGTGAGGAGGGTGTCACTGTCCATCTTTCCCATCAAAGCAAGCTCCAACAAGCAGGCACCTCTCCTGTCTTACTGACCTTGGCTCCCCAGAGCCTCTCCCGGGGCCTTATTCATAGAGCAGCTGTTGAATAGGTGAACAAAGGAAAGGCTGAATTAATGAAGTGTCAGAATGCTGGTGGGCTTCTGGGGTGGCTCAGATGGTGAAGAATCCACCTGCAATGCAGGAGCCCTGGTTCCATCCCTGGGTCAGGAAGATCCCCTGGAGAAGGAAATGGGAACCCACTCCGATATTCTTGCCTGGAGAATCTCATGGACAGAAAAGTCTGGTGGGCTACAGTCCATGGGGTCACAAAGAGCTGGACATGACTGAGTGACTGACACTTTCATGTCTGTACTTTGCTAGAACACTGGTGGCACAGATACTATTGGATCACAGAAGAGAGAATGAATTCCACCTGGAACGGCTTCCGAGAGGAACTAACTGTTGAGCTAGGTACTTTTTAACCTTCTGTTTCATGGAGATGTAATCGACATATAACGTTGTACAAGGCATACCCCAGAATGACTCGGCTTACATATATTGTGATACAACAACCAGAGTAAGTTTACTTCACATCTATCATCTCATATAGACACAAAAAAAGAAAAAGGAACAAAAGATTGTTTTTTTTTCCCCTTTGTGATAAGAACTTATGATTTGTCCTCTCAATACCTTGCAGGCATGTGTGCTAAGTCACTTCAGTCATATCTGCCTCTTTTTGACCCTATGGCCTGTAGCCCACCAGGCTCCTCTGTCCATGGGACTCTCCAGGCAAGAATACTAGAGGGGGTTGCCAGGCTCTCCTCTAAGGGATCTTCCCAGCCCAGGGATTACAAGCTGTGTCTGGAACATCTCTTGACTTGGCAGGTGGGTTCTTTAGCACTAGGAAGCCCCTTAATACCTTGAATGTCGTCTTAAGGAAAAACTTACGAGTTTCCTTGTTGAGAAGGTCCTAGGGCCAGTTCCTACAGGGTTCACCCTCTAGCCAGCCTAGGAAAAAGCCACCTTTTAATTTCTTATTACAAAAGAATGCCTATTGGTGGTAAGAAATCCAAACACTGCTGAATGTACAAATACTACAAATTACCATCCTTCCTTTCTGTCCACATGCTCCAGGCTTCACTATGAGTTACACTGGGTGTTCCCTTCTTCCTATCCAGACTTTAAAAAAAAAAAAAACCTCTTTCCTCTCCCGTATGAAATTATTTTAAATAAAGTTTTATTCCACCGAAAAAGCTATATCTGCATTGTCCCAGGGAAGAGCTTGACTCCTTCTTTCACTTAATTAGCATCTTGGGCAAGCCTGGAGAAATCTGGAGACTGCTGCTTATTTCCTCCAAGCTGTGGTGGATGCCTTGGAAGAGATTTTTACATTGTTGCAATAAAGCAGGTCTGGCCCGGATGTCCGACCTCTAAGAAACAGAGATTTTGGTCTGGAGAGAACTTTTCATACTTACCGTCACTATTGGGTTCTATTATAAAGATGATTGAAAAACAAGATGTATCAGGAAATCTGAATAGAATGCATTACTCTTAATAATCCCCGAGTTCAGGGATTTGATATACGCTGAATATCTGGCATTGGGCTAAGTGCTTTACCGGTGTTGTTTCATTGAATCCTCATGAGAACCTTGCAAAGGGGATCTCATTATTATCATTCCTATTTTGCAGATAAGGGAGTTGAGAGTGAGAGAATTTCTGTATCTTTCCCTAGGGTCGGCAGAACAAGCATCAGATCTGGGACTTGGACCAGACAACCTGGGAGGAGAGCTTGCAAGCTTCCCCACTGAGCTGCTTTGACTTCTGCTAAGTCTAAAAATGGGAGACATGGACTTGGAAGGCTTAGCTCTAGTCTTGTTGTTGCTTTTGTCACTAAGTGTGTGGGACTCTTTTGCGGCCCCATGCACTATAGCCCACCAGGCTCCTCTGTCCATGGGATTTCCCAGGCAAGCATGCTGGAGGGGGTTGCCATTTCTTCCAGGGACCTTCCTGACTTAGGGTTCAGACCCCTTATTTCTTGCTTGACAGGAGGATTCTTTACCACTGAGCCACCTGGGAAAGAGATCAAACCAGTTAATCCTAGAGGAAATCAGCTATGAACACGCACTAGAAGGATGGACGCTGAAGCTCCAATACTTGGGTCGCCTGATGCAAAAAGACCTAGATGCTGGGAAAGATGGAAGGCAAAAGGAGAAGAGGGCAGCAGAGGATGAGATGGTTAGATAACATCAACGACTCAATGGACATGAATCAGCAAACTCCAGGAGATGGTGAACTCAGGGAAGCCTGGCATGCTACAGCCCATGGGATCACAAAGAGTTGGACACGGCTCAGTGACTGAACAGCAACCACAACAGGGCTATTTGGGATGTAAATGGAATCCTTTGTGGAGGTATTTGGTCACCTTTAGCACATTCTACAGAGGAGGCAATGGCACCCCACTCCAGTACTCTTGCCTGGAAAATCCCATGGACGGAGGAGCCTGGTAGGCTGCAGTCCATGGGGTCGCGAAGAGTCGGACACAACTGAGCAACTTCCCTTTCACTTTTCACTATCACGCATTGGAGAAGGAAATGGCAACCCACTCCAGTGTTCTTGCGGGAGAATCCCATGGATGGCGGAGCCTGATGGGCTGCTGTCTATGGGGTCGCATAGAGTCGGACACGACTGAAGCGACTTAGCAGCAGCAGCAGCACATTCTAGCATCTTAATAAATGCCTCTTGGTTGATTTCACGTGGCACCCTTGAAGACAGTTAAAGTTGGCTCAGAATGCTGCTGAATGAGAGGAATCACCCATATCAAAGTTGGAGGTGGGTGGGAGTGAGAGTTCTCCTTCCTGCCACGCTATCCACTCCAGCTCTCGTCCCCATTGCCCCCATCTCCAGCTGCATAACTGATGTAGATCGTGGCCATTTTTAAAAAAACAATTACCTTATTGTCCCTGACAAGTAACTTATGGTTATTGTGAAAAGTCCAAAAGTTCAGAAAAGTAAAAATGGCCCTGTTTTTAAAATGTTCACCTCTGTGTTTTCAAGGTACTTAATCTTTTGGTTCTTGGCATATGGGTAACAGAATCTGTATTACCCAGAACAGGTGTTTTAAATAGCAGATGAATCTTATCCTACTCCTGAGTCTTGTTGAGGAAGGTTTCTTTGTGAAATGTTAGTAAGTAGAATAAGTATGGCAAGAGAACTCCTTTAAAAAAAAAAAAAGCTTTTTATTTTGTGTTGGAGTATAGCCCATTAACAATGCTGTGACAGTTTCAGGTGAGAACACCAAAAGTACTCAGCCATACATATACATGTATCCATTCTCCCTCAAACTCCCCTCCCATCCAGGCTGGCACATGACATTGAGCAGAGTTCCCTATGCTATACGGTAGATCCTTGTTGGTTATCTATTTTAAATATAGCAGTGTGTACATGTCCATCCCCAACTCCCTAGCTATCCCTTCCCCTCATCCTTCCCTCCAGTAACCATAAGAAAAAGAACTTCTTGAATGAAGCAGGTGGTTATTCCAAACCCTAGTAGCTCAGAGTCAGATTTTTCTCCTGCTTGTTCATGTCTTTTCAATATCATGCAGGGGGAAAGCTGACGTTGGTTTATAACATGCCCTGTGAAATGTCTATTTTTTTCTTTAAAAATCTAAACACTCGCAGAGAATGTAAATACGCCCCCTCTCCCGCACCACGGCCCCTCTCCTCCAGCGAGCATGTGTGAAATCTCACACGTACTCTTGCGCACCCAGGCCGACTGTCTGATTCAAGACGACAAGGCTGTTCTCCATGTGTCTGTCAGAGGCGCCAAAACCCACAAGCCCAACGAGACCAGATGGGAAACCACAAGACCGGCCCCCTGCCCTCCGCAGTGTGTTGTCACCTCATTTGGGTGTGCATCAAGTGAGAAGGCCGAGGGGGTCAACCTCACTTGTGAGCCAAGCTTAGCCAAGTAGACGGCTTTCCACACCTCGCTTGTCCTGCCGGCCTCACAGTCCCCTTCGTCTGACCACCTGAAAGCAACTGGCTCTCTCCCTCCTCCACGGCTCACCGCTTCAACTTTTCTGAAACAGAACAGAGTCTGGAAGAGAGTTCAGGGGCATGGTGCAGGGCAGGCAGGACAGGCTGATGGCAATGGTTCATCATGGGCTCGTGAGCTGCCTTCCTGGTTGCAGCCGAGGGAGGCCAGTAGAGACCGTGGAGTCTTCATTCTTGGGCTGTTTCGACATCTGGATGGATGCCTTGTCCCCATGGAGACAGGCGTGTCGTCCTAGCAACACGCCGAACGTCTTCAGGGCTTTCAAGCTCTTTCCCATCTGTGACCTCCGCTACCCTCTCAGCCATGGTAGGGAGAGCAAGGCAGAGACTGTCCCAAATTCCCAGAGGAAGATGTCGGGATCAGAAAGGTTGAGGGGATTGTCCATGTAGTGATGGGGTGAGCCTGCTTCTTCTGCTCCCTCCCGAAAGCATGTCTTGAGAGTTCCCCAAAATGTGCTGTTCTGAGAGCAGAAGACGAACTCGGGAGGATGACCTGAGACCGCTGGGCCCCCTGCCTCCTTCACGGCCCCGTCCTCTTGTGGCCCCCAGATCAGTCTGCTCCTGGGATCTGTGCGGGATGCTGTATCAGTGCCTAGGTTGGCCGCGTGGCCTTCTCCTCTCCACGCGACAGTCTGTCACCATCTAAGCAGGAAGTTGACAGTGACTGGCGGCTGAAGTGTCTCTTTGTGGAGCAGTCGGCCTGGCATTCTTTTACTGGCTGTCCCAAGTGATATTTTTCAAACTTGTTTTTGAAAACCCAAAAAATCAGATCCGGTTAGCGTCTGGCTGTTCCAGAAGGGGTGGCTGTAGGTAGCATCAGAAGAGGTGATCCTGAATTGCCCCAGGGTAGAAACTGTTGCTGAGACAGAAACATGGTTTTTGACCTGCAGGAATTTGAAGAAGTGACACGCAAGGGTGGTGTTGGCCCTTGGTGCCAGCACTCAGGGCTGATCAAAGACCCCGATGTTTGCGGTGACCCTGGCCACTCATTTCCACTTGAATTTGTTAGCAGACTACAATCAAGTGCTTAAATCTTGCTATGAAGGCCAGCCACTTGGTTGTAATTTGCATGAAATGCTACCAATCTGTATCTGCCTTATTTAAACAGTCTTCTGTTTCTGGAAGAATCTCATCCTCTTTTTCCACAGCAGGCTTTTTTCCAGCCACTTCTGGTCATCACTGTCTGCATCTATCAGAGGCGGCAGGATGAGGGCAAGAAAGTTGTGGGACTAGGGGGTGACAATAAGTTTATTTGTTTGCTTGTTGACTGAATTTGAAAATATATACATATTCCTTTCATATGAGTAATAATAATGACTCAAGCATTATGCTAAAAACTTTAAAACATGATCTCACTTAATACTAAGACTAATTAATTAGGTAGAGATCTACAACTATCCTCAACCTATAGGTGATACAACAGAAACACAAGAAAGTTCATTAACTTGTCTAGAATTGTATGGTAGCCAGGAGACCTGAGATTTACACCCAGAACTATCACACTCTAGAATTTTGTACTCTAAGCCACTGCCCAACTTAAGCTGTGTGTGATTGTCACTCAGTCATGTCTGACTCTTTGCAACCCTGTGGTCTGTAGCCCAACAGGCTCCCCTGTCCATGGAATTTTCCAGGCAAGAATACTGGAGTGGGTTGCCATTTCCTTCCCCAGAGGATCTTCCTGACTCAGGGATCAAACCATCTCTTGCGTCTCCTGCATTAGCAGGAGGATTCTTCACCACTGAGCCACCTGAGAAGCCTGCCCAATACAGGCTAGTGATTCTCAGATTCTAGATGCAGGCTGGCAGTGGTATTTATATTTTGGCCTCCTTTATGCATTTGCAAATGAAATGTTACTAACAAGCCCCCATCAGAGACAAAGCCTGGGAAGCAAGGCTTTTCTCCCAGTTAATTCTGGATTAGTTCTGCAGTCAGTGACTCAGCTACATTGAGGGTTCAGCCAGGACTATATGATGGCTTCATGCTAGCACGACAGGAAATTAAAGCCTTCAAGTACAGAAATCCTATTTCCTGAAACAAGGGTTGTTAGATAAAACACAGGTTCCCAGTTACCTTTGCATTTCAGATAAGCAGTGAATAATGTTTAGGGTAAGTATGTCTCAGGATATATTTGGGATATACTCACCCTTTAAAAATGACTCACTGTGCATCTGACATACAAATTTAGTTGGGCAACCTGTATTTTTATTTGTTAAATCTGACAATTCTCCAGGAATTTGAACCAAATACATCCGAACCAGCCAAAAGATATGACATGAGTCTGGTGTCCATGTACATCTCAGAGACATAGCTAATATGGTTAAAATAATAATAATAGTAGCTAAGGACTGGAACATCAAAATTTCTGAGAAGCTTCCATGGTTTACGTGGGATCAACTTGACAGATACTTGAATTCAAATATCTGAGGAAAATGCTTGCTGTGTGTATAGGAGGTGACTTTTGATCAGTGATTTTCAGTCCTAGCTATACATTGGAATCATCTAGTAAGATTTTTTTTTAAAAGTACTCATGTCTGGGCCCCACCCTAGACTCTGGGGCAAACGGTCAGGGGTGTGGCCTAGGCGTGGAGATGGCATGCTGAGGATAAAAGATCCCTAACATCCCCTGGCTTCATAAATGGTGTGGATAAACTGTGGTGCAGATGTTCAGAAGGGGAATAGTCTATGATTGGAAGGGACCCAGCAGCTTCCTGGAGGAGCAGAAAACCCAACCAGATGAAGGATAGGGAAGTTTTGGATAAGCAGAGAAGAGCAAGCAGAGTATGCCAGGGAAGGGAATGATTTGTAACAGAAAGTTCGCACACACACAAAAAAGTTCAAGCCAGGTACAAAGAACAGACCAGTCAGATAAAAATGGTACGTATGACTAGGAGTGAATGTTTTTAGTTGAATAGTTTTTGTTTCTGTGTATAAAACTTATACATGAAGTTGTAGGGATTTTAGAAAATACAGTAAAGCAAGAGGAATAAAAGCCATTGCCTATCTATCATTAACAGGAAATCACTTTTAAACTGTGGTTACTTTTCTGTGCCTTTTGGATGTTAATGAGAACATACATATGATAATTTTATATCCTACATCTTTAATTTAGCATTATATCACAAGCATTTCCTCATGGTATTAGAAATTGTTCATGAATATATACTGGCTGCAATCATTGCCACGACTGATGCAGAATAAGCTTCTTAACCTTTCTTCTGATGCTGGACACTCAGTTAGTGTCCAAGTGTTTCCATATTTAGAGGGTTGGTTTTAGACTTGTAAGATGTAAATGGGAGAGCCTGAATACAGGGCTCTTCCTAGTAGTTCATGGACTGGAAGAATTTGCAGGACTCTTCTTCATCCTGTGCTCTCATAAACCCTAGAGAAGAGCTTTGAAGTCTTCAACACCCAAACCAGATGTCAAGTTCATCTTCAAAGTGCCCACCTTGGGGGCATACTAAGCAATGTGCCCCGAATCACAACTCCTAGCAAAGAGAGATGCTGCTTCTTCCCATTACAGACTGCCGTCTGGCTGAGGAACTACTGTTGGGAACCTAAGAGTTTTTTAACACCCAATTAAATTGGTGTAATTGGATAGAGTTGCAACTTCTTTGCCTCCAGCTGTGCACCATAATCTGTTCCACACCTGGGTGTTGTTTCGCTTGATTCTTGTACTTTTCCTACAGTTCTGGAGATGGGGTAGGAGAGAGCATTTTCCCACTTTCTGATGTAGAGAGGATTTTTCCTTCCTTTTGAAGGAGACACTGACAGTTGGCTATCACTGTTAACCTCCCTTGGGCTAAGACTTTACTTTGACCCCGAGGTTTTAGCATCCCACTTTCTCTGGGGTCTGCTATTTAAAATTTCTCAGCAATACAGAAATAGTCCAACCAAGAAAGAACATTTGGTCAAGTTCAAGACTCAGCGCATGTATCAGCTATGAACAAAATTTGTTCATGACTCTTTTGACCCAATACCCAAGGCTATGGGAATGACAAGTAGATCATGCTACAATTCTGATAGGTTTTAAGAACATGAACCGGATACATATTATGCAGGTCAGAAGATGAACTTCACTGAGCAAGACCAGAGAAGGCTGAAAAGCACTTTTAATATTTAATGATTTTTTTTTTCAGAGTTCCACAGTTGAATAACAGGGTACGAAAGGAAGAGTATCTTGGTTTCAACCCAATTCTATTACCTGGACTCCTTTCACCCCTGGGACCGTGCCCACCCCCCCCCACCCCATCTCTCATGCAGAACCTGTGTTCATTCCTGACCTCAGCTGATAATCATCAACTTTATAGATGACTTGGATGTTGGATCAAAGGTGCTTACCACAATCTGAGTATGCACCAGAATCATCTGAAGAGTGGGAATAGGGCCAGATGAGGCTTAGAAAAATTCCATTAAATTCCGTGGTTAACTTCAGATTGCTGTAACCCACTTCTGACTCTGTGGGTGTGGGTTGCGGTCCAATAACTTGGATCTCTGACAAATTCCTAGGTGATGCTAATCCTGCTGGCTAGGAAACTTCAAGAATGACTGTGTTGGACTTCGAAGATTCTTTAAGAACCATCTTGTCTGAGTATTGTCTTTTCACAGCCATTTAACATTTCCTTTATTTCCTGGGCAGGCATCACTATTCAGTCCTTCTGCTCTTTCCTCATGGGTCCAGACTGTTCTCCAAATGCTTCCAACACAGCAGTTTAGAACTTTGTTCCCAAGGTATGCACAATGGGCCAGCAGCATCAGCATCACCTGGGAGTTTGAAAGAAATTTGGAATCTCAAATCCCACCCCAGGACTATTGAGCTGAAATATACATTTAATGAGATCCCTAGATGAACTGTATACACAATAAAGTTTGAGAAGCATGGGTCTAAGCAACCAGAGATATTCAGTTCAGTTCAGTTACT